ATCGCTATCGCTTATGATGGACGTGATCATGTGGATATCTTTGTTGCGTATAATCATGGTTCTTTTGAAACTCAAACTAGGTATTCAGTTGGCTCTGATCCACAATCTGTAGCTATTGGTGATGTCAACAACGACACTCGACTAGATATCGTTGTCGCCAATAGGGGCAGCAATGATGTGAGTGTCCTTCTTGGATATGGAAATGATTCTTTTGAAACTCAAACAACGTATCTAGTTGGCGCTTATCCACAATCTGTATCTATTAGTGATGTGAACAACGACACTCGACTAGATATCGTTGTCGTCAACTCGTGGACCGATGATGTGAGTGTCCTTCTTGGATATGGAAATGGTTCTTTTGAAAATCAAAAAAGGTATTCAGTTGGCTCTTCTCCATTATCTGTAGCTATTGGTGATGTCAACAATGACACTCGACTAGATATCGTTGTCGCCAATGTGGGTAGCAATGATGTGAGTGTCCTTCTTGGATATGGAAACGGTTCTTTTGAAAATCAAATAAGGTATTCCGTTGGCTCTTCTCCAACATCTGTAACTGTTGGTGATGTCAACAACGACAATCGACTAGATATCGTTGTCGCCAATTCGGGTAGCAATGATGTGAGTGTCCTTCTTGGATATGGAAATGGTTCTTTTGAAAATCAAACAAGGTATTCAGCTGGTTCTTCTCCACAATCTGTAGCTATTGGTGATTTCAACAACGACAATCGACTAGATATCGTTGTTGCCAATTTGGGTAGCAATGATGTGAGTGTCCTTCTTGGATATGGAAATGGTTCTTTTGAAAATCAAACAAAGTATTCAGCTGGCTCTAATCCAATATCTGTAACTGTTGGTGATGTCAACAATGACACTCGACTAGATATCGTTGTCGCCAATTTGGATAGCAATGATGTGAGCGTCCTTCTTGGATATGAAAATGGTTCTTTTGAAAATCAAACAAGGTATTCAGTTGGCTCTAATCCACAATCTGTAGCTATTGGTGATGTCAATAACGACACTCGACTAGATATCGTTGTCGCCAATGTCTATAGTAATGATGTAAGTGTCCTTCTTGGATATGAAAATATAGTGTTTGTAAAGCAAATGATACTGATAACTGGAAATGATTCCCGACCACAGTCGTTAGTGATTAGCGATTTTAACAATGATGATTTAATGGATATTGGCGTCGTTAATTCACGCGCCCACAATATTGGTATCTTTTTTGGATATGGAAATATCTCTTTTACAAATCAAATGACATATTCAACTGGTCTGTATTCATTTCCATGCTCTATGGCTGTCGGTGATTTCAACAATGATACTCAAGTGGATATCGCCTTTGTTAGTTGTGAGTCGAACAGTGTTGGTGTTATTCTTGGATATGGGAACGGCTCCTTTAGAAATCAAATGATGTATCCAACAAGCTCAAGTTCGTCTCGATATTCTTTAGCTGTAAATGACATTAACAACGACACTATACAAGACATTGTCGTCGTGAATCATGATGCGAATTATCTAGGTGTGCTTCTTGGACATGGTAACGGTACCTTTGCAAGTATCATCCTATTTCGGTTGGATTATAGTTCCAATCCATTCTCGATTGCCATTGGCGATTTCAACAATGATAGAAAACTAGATTTTGTCGTCGCCAATAATGGTACTGACAGTTTAAATATTCTCTTACAGACTTGTTAGTAATTTGATATTGTACTTTATATTTTTCTATCACTTACTTATTTCGTATGCTCTTACATTTAATAGAATCATAGTTCAAATATTCAAAGGTTTCTAAGTGTGAAAGATGAGTGGGGAAAGCTTGGGTTTGCTTGGGGATCCCTGATGATGTAAGCCTTAGTATGGTTGAGAGTATGAGTGATTATCTGCCAGTATTGATCTGACTCTAGTAGAAAAAAAACATCCAGATCCACACTCACATCCCACAAAAGCGTTTTTTTGCATCAATAACAAGTGTCATGATGAAATCTATCGCAATGAGGAAGTTGATTATTACGTCAAATATTCAAGTTTATTGAGCTTTTTAAGAACCATTGTCTCGTGGAATTCAATCGTATTGTATGCACTTAGAGATCAACTGTTGCGTCATGTTAAACCACCAGTTCGGTGTGACTGACTCTATGAATATCATCAAATCACGATCATCTATTAGTTACATCCCTTGCTTGCTAATGATGATTATCAATACCATAATGTCAATATGTGCAAGAGAAACAATAGTTTCTTGAGCATGGGGGAATCAAAAGTTCAACCTGCAGTTGTGTTTATTGAAGGATATGGGGTGTGGATGCCGGGTACTGGATGAGACTCTTCACCACACCCGCCAACCCACGCACAATTGAACATCAATCAATTTCAATGATGATCACGTTGTTCTGTTGAATAATATAGGTGAACTACCCTACTGACGGTTTGAAAGTGTGGGAGTGCGTGTGGATGTGGGCACTGGGTTGAGAATAATACACTCACACACAAATTGTGAATCAATTGAAAAACAGACTAACCCGTATACCTAAGATACAAATCAATCTGCTGATCTCAACTCTTGCTTTTCAGCAACCGTTTTTGTTTGTCGAAATTTAATGAAAATAAGATGTGCTTTTTAAGTTAACAAATTAAAGATAAATGCAGAGTTTTGCTTCGCCGACGGGTTTCGTGTATTTTATTTAAAAATAATCACACTCATCAGGACTGCGCATAAAAAAGTTTTTAAGCACAAAAAATACAGAAAGGAATGAGTGAAAAATAAGGAAACGAGAAAATGAACAAAAAATAATAGAAACATAAATAAAAGGAAAATAAGTAACAAATAATTGAAAAGAGAATTAGGGGGTATATGTTTTTATTTAATCAAAGTCCAGTATTTAGTTTTTGAACTTTGTATATTCTAGTCGATTATAATTTACGAGTATTGACTAATCGACGTTGTAAATTGGGGACATTACGGGTACCAAGTATCGGAGTTACATCGTTGATTGGTGATTCGTCAAAATATTTATTCCAAAGTATACGAAATTTTTGAGGAAATGTCCTCATATTTGAGCAGTACGTAAAATGAACAAATATCTTAGTACTGTAATCTATTGGAAGTTTTTCTTTAATTGAAGTATTGATAACTTTTTGACGAATAGAATAATAATTTTTTATAGTAAGTATTTCTTGTATATTAAATTTTCGTAGAACAGCGTTAAATTGTTGATCAATGAATTGTCCTGGATGTTTATTTAATAAAAGAGCCATTCTTAATTTACCACGTTCTTCGAAATAAGCTTCTAATGTTGAACAATATCTTATTGCGCGAAGTAACATAGTAAATGGTATATTTTTCTTCATATGTAAAGGATGAATACTATTGAATGACAAGTAATATGGCTGATATCATGGCTTATGGTAAACTAAAGTAAACAATTTGTCATCTTTATTTTCCATATGTAAATCTAAGAAATCAGCCTGAAAACTTATATTAGCGGATAATTTTATATTCGAATCAAATTGATTTCATCGCTCCACTTGTTTAATTAAACGACGATTAGGCCAATTGATAGCCATAAAAATATCATCAATATAACGAACATAAATGCCAAAACTGTTATTTATTTGTTTAATAATATTTTGTTCAAAGAAATACATATAACAGTTGGCAATAGTCAATGGTAAACGGGAACCCATTGCTTCTGCTTTTATCTGATGATAAAATTGACCATCATATTTAAAATAATTATTTTGCATTACGAATCTTGCAAGGCGAATAACTGCTTCAATTTTTTAACCATTTACTTGTTTTAAATTAAAATAATCTAACATTCTTTTTAATAATAATACACCTTCGACTTGTGAAATCATTGTATAAAGATCAGCAACACCAATAGTACATAATAAAGTTTCTTGTTTCATATTATTGTTTGACCATTGTTGCAATTTTTTAATGAGTTCAAAACCACAAGTAACAGTAGTATTAGCAGCCATCTTGTCAAACAATGGTCGTCAAAGATCATCAAGAAACTTAGAAATTTTTATTGTTGGATGTTTAAGACCTGCAATAATTGGTCGAAGAAGAGTTTGCGGTTTATGATGTTTTGGTAGATAATACAGATGAGCTAATTCAACTTCATCTGTTTTAATACAAAGTTGCTCATATTGCTTTTTTGTAATCCATTTAGCAAAACGTAATTCTAATAAATATTTATTAGTACGTTGTATAAGATCAGGTAAAGGATCCTGTGTACCAAGACATTGATAAGTATTTGTTTTAGTCATATATTCGATAGATTTTGTTCGATAATCATCAACTTTACCTAAATGAAATACTTTGGACTTATCAGTTTTTCTTATCACTGTGTTCGTGAGTTTAAATTTACATTTTAATCGTTTAATTAACCGACGATAATTTATCTTCTTTTTAAGAGATCGATTGTGTATTTGTGGGTGTGGGTGTGGGTGTGGGTGTGGGTGTGGGTGTCGGTGTGTGGGTGTGGGTGTGGGTGTGGGTGTGTGGGTGTGTGGGCGGTTGTTGGTGTGGGTGTGGATGTGGGTGTGGGTGCGGGTGCGGGTGTGGGTGCGGGTATGGGTGTGTGGGCGGCTGTTGGTGTGGGTGTGCATTTGAGCAGATGATGGTGTTCATGCTATTGATACCCACACCCCCACCCCCACACCCACCCACACCCACACCCACACCCACACCCACCCACACCCACACCCCCACCCCTACCCACGCCCACCCTTTTCGAAATCATACAGACAACCCAACGTTGAAGCCAGCTGATGAGTCCCTTAAGCAAGGACGAAGTCAGTCATGGAAGCTCTATGTATACAGTGTTATTCTGTATTACTACCACTACTATCAGGTTTCGACTTGTTAGTAGCAGCGTAGTTCGTCTTAGTGTTGATTTTTCGAAATCATACAGACAACCCAACACTGAAACCAGCTGATGAGCCCCTGAAGCAAGGACGAAACCGGTCATGGCAGCTATATGATCGAAGATATCACATCTAACAAAGAGAAAAAAGAAAAGAGATATCACATCGTAGAGAAGATATAAAATCGAATAGAAGAAAGAAAGAACGAACGAACGAAAGAAAAGCAATCTAAGTGATGTCAGAGGTCAAAAGTGTAAAACGAACTAAGCGAACAGTAAGGAGTGCAAAAGAGATGTAAACGAAGAAGAAAAAGAAAATGAAAATGAAAAACGAAAAACTCTGTGAAGGCGAAAGCCTGTAATAACTATATTAGGTGGCTACACTGTGAATAAAAAAGGTCTCTGATCCATTACTTCTAGAAGAAGAATAATGCTGCCAAAATCTAACAGCATTCTTTTTGCATCCCACTATATATCACTATGGTCCAGTTATTAGTTTACTGCAGATTGCGAGAAAATTTCACAGCAACTTTGTCCCAAAGATCCATGAACACATTTCCACCCCAATTGTTCCGCAAACGAGTATACTCTTCATGATCATACCAAGTCCAGAACTCGTCTCGACTTGCGTAGATATGCGCATATAACCCAACTTTTCCACTCAGCTTTGCGGTCAACCGTTGCAAATCCAAATTTGATTCAGGCAGATCCATGGCTACTCCGTACAGGCCAATGTTCACGATGACATGCGTTTTCGAGTTCACGACACTAAATAAACCTTCATCGCTTCCATACGAACGAACAGGACAAAACCAAAGCTTTTTGAGGCCCTTTCTCGCTGCCCAATTTATGATTTCTTGCGCACGATCAAATGGAACATTGACATCTTGAATCATGGTCACCGATTCTCGCCTTCGGTCGGACATGAGCCTGGATATCTTGTAGAGAGTAGAAGAGCTCAAGAAGTGATGGAGGGAACCAAGAAAAACGGGCGTATGCAAGACAGATCGGAGAGGCGGAAAGAGGACGGTCGCCTCTTCGATACCCCAGAAAGCGCCTCTGTCGTGGCGAAAGAGATAGTCAAGTGTTGGTATGTACTCATCGTGAAGCATGAGTACATTATTGTCATCAGCCACCTTCTTCCCAGTCAGAATGGTCTTGACATGCTGGTAGAAGAAAGGCGAGAAGGTGGTGTCTTTGTACACCGGTGCATCTGATGCAGGCCCAGGAACACATCCTCCGTACATGGCCACAGTCCCGGTCATACTCTCATCTCCTCCACAGAACTTGATAGCATCTATAACTTGGTTGTCTCCATACCAACCAGTGTCTGCTTTCCTAGCGAGCTTCTCTTCCACAGCGTGCAAGAACTGAGGCAAGTCCGAATAATACACATATCTCAAACGAATCCACTCGGTTGCTTGGACCAGTCGAACGCGAGCTGCAACGACCAGCGCCAGAGTGCCATTCGAGCCCGGCACAGCTTTCCACAACTCGGGCGCTTCAGAAGAGGAGAGGATGGTTCCATCACCAGTGAGCAAAGTCGCTTCGATGACAGTCTTGTCGAAAGTGCCATACATCCAGGAAGTGCTTTCGATGCCGATACCCTGGATTGCCCCACCGATCGTAATTGACTTGAACTCAGGTACGACGGCAGGCAGAAGGCCATGTTTCAAGGTCACCTTGCACAGCTCTTCGAATGTCACAAGAGCCTCGACTTCGGCATACTGCTCTCTTTGGTTGATCTCGAGAATCGAAGTCCGTGCAGATATGTCGATCTGATATTTTCCTTTCTTGTACGCGGGAGATCTCGTCGAATGTCCTTCACCTGGTTTGCGAGATATGGCGACTTCCGCGAGAGGTTTACGACCTGCGACGGTACGAAGTGCAGCTGCGATTTGAGCAATGTCGAGTTTATGTTGTTCTCGCGATTTTAATTGAACAGAGATAGGCACGATTTTTTTCAATTTGAGAATGACGAGTAGCAGAGTAGCGATGGAAATTAGCAAATCGATAAAAATCGAAAAGAGTAGCTTGGGTTTTTCCCAGACCATAACTGACAAGGTCGTTTGCTGTTACCAATAGGTGGAAAGAGTTCGTTTAAAATCTTGAAACAGATTTTGAATTCGTCAATGGGCTGTGAGGACTAGGACTTTTACGTTTCACAGTCAGAAAGATAAGGTGCACGCAACACAAAAGTCGAGCAAAAAATTATACCCCCTCTTTTTGTATGCATGGTCGGTTGGAGCTCGTCGAGCTGATTCCGAATATGACCTCTAAAATGGTTTTTCATCACGTTTTGGGTGAGAAATTTTGAAAATACAAAGCACACACGAAAAAGTGAAAAAATGACCCTTGCCAAGTAAACTTACGAGTTCGTCCATTTATCGTCACTGTAATTTTTTGAACATATTTTATTCGAATTCAGCATCTCAAACTGAGTCTTTTCACGTAATCTCATGTGACTTTTGATACAACCACTATGTTCGAGTGTACCGGTAAGGGTGAAGAAGCGATGTAGCGCATCCTTGTTCTTCCCGACCTATGTAGTCCTTCGTTTCAAAACTTTTCTCTGATTGTTATATACCATTCGAATCGTCATCGGATAGCGAACAAAGTTACATATCCTTTTAATTTTATGTTGTAGCATTGCTGAGAAAATCCATTTTTTCCACAGTAGCGGCAAAATGGCCAAAAACAGGATCATATTTTTAGATTTTCACTGCAAAAATTTTATTTTCAAGCAAAATGAATATGATATGTGAAATCAGCGTAAAAAACTGCACCTAATAACCTATCTCTCATCAAAAAATATTTTTCGTCAAAATCCGACCCGTCGGAGACCACAGGGTACAGCTGAATAGAAAATAGCTGACGAGAAGTACGAGTCGGATTTTGACGAAAAATATTTTTTGATAAAATATATATTATTTGATGCAGTTTTTCGTGTTGATTCCAAATATTACGTTTATTTTGCATGAAAATCAAGTTCTCGTAGTCAAAATCACGAAATACGACTGCAATTTTTAAACATTTTGTCGTCGATTTCGAAAAAATTGATTTTCTCAGCAAGGAAAAAGAATTTCGGAAAAATCTCTTTGCTGTTTTGAAGCTGAGCACCTAAAACATCTAGCCGTGGAAAAACATTGGGGCTACGACCTCTAGAAAAACCTGTGAAAACCTTCCAACGTTTGTAAGACGCTTCGGGCATGCCTCCATTTTGGATCTCCGAAAAAATCCATTTTTCGTTCTGCGGCTTCGAAAGTTAGTTTCCCACATTCGGTTTCCAACGTGGAATCTGAAAAACTTGTAGTCGAGTGGAAAAGCCGAAACCAGAAAAAATTGAGGCCATTTTCTTGAAACCGTGTTTTTTTCGGGTTTTTGACATGGCTCCAGTATTTTGAGCATAACTCAGCGAGGAAAGAGCTTTTGGGAGGTGAAGTGGTGGTATTTGTGACCGCCGTTGAGTTCTTTTTTCAATGGTGTATAAACCGATGAAAAAGAAACTTCACTCGAACTCTGCATTTTTTTCATCTTAAGATTTTTCTTCAATGAATTCAGTTGAATTGACTGCCTTTTTGAGTTGAGTTGCCAAGCTGTATTCCATGCATTTTCTAACATGGGTTGGCGCAAATAAGGCGCATTATTTCCCATCTCCATGAAATCCTTCGAAAATCCAAACCAGTCAAGCAGACAAGAAAACCCAACGCGGATGTTTTAAGGCGTGAGTTTTCAACACGTTTAAATAGTTTCTTTTTGATCACCAAAAACGTATTCTCACATTGGATGTCCGTTTTTCAACAAACACGCCATGCGAACAATAAAATGTGTTTCTCTTTGGCGTAAAAAAATATGCATATGGAAAACGTTGATCACGTCATTTTTCTTCGCGGGCCAACATGTAGAAATGTACTTTTGTGAGCTGAAAAAACTGTTTTATTGAGTTATCAATTAATTATATAGCACATCTTACAGTTAGTTTCTAATGTACCCTATTATATGAATCAAATCCAAGCTTGTTTTTTACGTGTTGTGAAT